ATAAACTATTGAATGATTGATAAAACCTTTGTTAGTATATTTTGTTCATAGATCTTGCTTGTCCTTAAAGCTTACTTCAATTACTCCTACACAAACTATTAAATAATTGATAAACATTCATTAGAATATTTGCAAATTGCATATTTCTTTGATTAAGGCAATAGTCTATTTATTAGATTTAAAATAAATGAACTTAGCTGTTCTTTGTATTTTTTTTAATAATAAAGATAATTCTCTTCCTGTTCATCTGGAAAATTCATGTGACAAAAGGTCTGCAATATAAGGGAAATTTTTCAAATTTTTATTTTATTTCAATTCGTCTAAATTCAGTAAACTTGTGCAACTTTGAAGCTCAAATTCTCCACAACAACATGACATATCAATGAGATGAAATTGTGGTTTTGTAGAGGAAGGTCTTGGATTCAAATACACAATTTATTTTGAGGTGTTGCATTTCCATTTTTGGAGAATTTGAAAATCTACACAATCAATAAAAAGTTGTGGGACTAAGTGACTTGCATCATATGTATGATTTGCATTTTCATACATGCAGAAAAAAATCATACATACATACATTTATATTATATTATTATATTAATTTAATAAAAATGTATGTATGTATGATCTGCATTTTCATACATGTATGGAAATAAAAATCATACGTTACATACATAAGGGTTCATACATTACATGTTTTCGTAACACCGCTACCCAAGAGGATGAAGCATATGAAAGATCTGAGGCAGATATAAATGACATCCTTCAAAAATTCACGGCTTGAACCTCTCTTAATCATATATTCTACATCAATATTGCGATCATATGATATCTGGCCAATTTGACACGACGTCGCATGACTACTAATACTAATAAGCCATGTTTCATTAAATTCGGATGATTGATTCTCGAGATAGTTAATTTTGACATTAATAATTATAATAAATCGTAAAATCATGTATAATATAGATTATTTATTGCTTAATTTTTTACATTTGATTATGATATTAAATACAATTTAATCAAACATTGATAAAAATCTTTAAATTTTTACATTGGGAAAACATTGATTAAATATTTAATTTACATTTATTAAAAATATTGATTAAATCTTTAAATTTACATTGAAAAATATTGATTATAAAAAATTGATAAGAGTCAAAATTTACAATTGAAAAATCATTGTCTAAATCTATAAAATAAATAGTTTATTATATATGGGTAACCAACTAATTATATATACAAGATTAAAAGAACATCTGAAGATATTCTTTGTTTTCATTCTATGAGTGGAGTCGTTGATAATCATTGCTCGTAAAAAAATCTAAGAATTTATAAAATTAATGATAAAATTTCAAATAAATTTGTATTTGAAATTTTTTGGTGTGCATAATTTGTTTTTATTGCATGCATAATTGATAGTTTACTGTCTCATAAAACCATGGTCCTTGCTAAAGCTCTATCACTTTAATCTATTATTATTACAGTTTCCTAATTCTGTAATCACCAATTGTATTATCACGACATTTAATAATAAATTTTTTGCCAACGATTTGTCGACAGGAAAACTCTGTAAAATCGAGCGAAAACGGAGAAGTTCCAGGTGTGTTCATCGGAATTTCATTTCTTAAATGTTTGCTCATATTAAAATAACCGATAGTGAATCCATAGTCGTTAGGATCTTTTGAAGCAAATCCTCTATCAAAATACATTACACTTTTACAAATTGGTGGTGCGGTCTGGGTGAAATAGGCTGATCCTAAAACTTCTTGTTCAACTTGAGTAGATAAAGACCACCAATACTCGACTTCATCAAAAGGCTCAATTTCATCTTCTATAAATATTCCAGATGAAGGAGCAATAGTAATAAAAAAGAACAAGACCAAAGTGGTCAATAAAGATGATTTTTTCATTTGTGATTGAGGCTGTTATGAAAAATTTATAAAATTCAGTTTAATTTTTTTGTAGTTTTCGTAATTTTACAAAAGGTCTCTCTCCAGAGATCGATAGATCTTTTTATGTTATTTATTATTTTGTTAAGCAAATAATACGATTTGTGTAAAAAGAAAGTTTGTTGTCTTTATATACTAATGCTTAATTTTAAAAAATAATCACAAGAAATTAACAATTGGGGCAATTGCCGTAACCTGTATATATACTGGTTATTTAACTTGAATTTTATTTATTTTTAAAAATCAGATCATTATATATTAATACAAGCAGGGATTTTAGGGGACACTGGCAATTAGTAAATTCACCCCCATTAATTTATTAATCCATCTTCTTAATAAAGGTATTTACAAATTTTTATTCACATCATCAATTAGTAAATTGAGCTTTCCTTTGTTAAAAACATATACCAGTTCCAAATTGAGTAAATTAATATATATGCTTCTTTTTTTAATAATATACCACTACCACTACTACCATTATAATGACACAGCTTTTTATAATGTCGATCTTTGTTATAATGACATTTTTTATGCACTTCAGTTATAATGACACTCACTATTCTATTTACCCCGTTATGGAACCAATCAAAATCATACTGAAAAATCGTTTGATTAAATAATTAATATGTTAATTTTTGTGAACGATCAATAAAACATTGATTAACATGGCTGAAACAGAATTTCAGAGAGCCAAGCAAAATTAGTTGGGATTTTTTAAAAATAGAATCGAATAAATGACGACTTTCTGTTGATGAAACAGAATTTTAGAGAGTCTAAACAAATTAGTTTAGATGTTTGAAAGTGGAATCAAATATATGGTTTTCTCAGAATTTTTGATGGGTTGAATTTTTTATGTTTAAAATCACATGGTAATGATTCTCACATGACTTTTATATGAACTTTTATTGATAATGACATTCTCGTTATACTGATATTTTTTGCTTCCGTTTATAACATGAGTGTCCTGTATATTATTTTCTTATCAGTCACCAATACTACTACTAATATATATATTATATATTATTTATTAATATATATCTACTACAATTATAAAAAATTATATATAAAAATACAAAACTCCAAACAAACTTAAAATGATAACATATACCCCAAAACAACGTTGTTTATTTTTTTTGTTTATTAATCTTGATGTTCAAATAAACTTTAAACAAGAATAAAAAAATTTTAATTTTTTTAAAAATCCCAATACATTAAATAAAAGAATAAGCCACAAGCTTTCATTTGATATATTCGTACTGTAAGAGAAAAAATTTGGTAGTAGTATATTCCCTTTTTAGAAAGATCATCGCGTTCTATAATTAAACTATATATTAATTATTTTGTGGTAATAAATAATTATTCCACGACTACAAGATTTCTATTCGAATAAGTTTATTTGGATTATTATTATTATCATCTGTTTTACTCGTTATTAGAATCACATCGTAATAGTAATAGAATGTAAAACAAATAGATCGAATAAATCGAATAAATCGAATAAATCGAATAAATCGAATAAATCAAATAGATTGAATAAATCAAATAGATCGAATAAATCGAATAAATCGAATAGAATGAATAAATAGAACAATTAGAATAAAACAAACAAAACAAATAATAATAAATAATTGGGATAAACGAATAATTATAATAAATTCAAATTAATATTAAGTACTTTAAACAATTGATTGGTGCGTCCGATTTACATTATTATTACTTTTTAATTGATTATTTAACTGTTCACGAAATGAAAATTGAAATGAATTCTATTACACAAATAGTTCATCATCTTCTTTAATAACCTTACTTAGAATGACGAAAAAACGTACATTTGCTCAAAAAAAAAAAAAAAGAAATGCCTGTAGCAGGATAAAAGTAATGGAATTTCTACTCGTAATACAACTCAATCTTTATTATTATTCGTTTTATTCGTTTTATCCGAACCCTTGAATATAATGACAGTATATAATAATAACAATAATAATAATAGTAACAATAATATAATACCGGTAAGCTTAGTACCATCTGAAAAGTTTTTTCGTCAATTGGGGTTTTAGCCGGCTAAGGGTTGTTCGACTTAACCAAGGTCTTTTTTGTTATATTTCCCTTGTGTATCCCAATCGCTCCTTTGTTTCATCAGTTGTCCCCAAGGAGTTAAGTTTTTCTTTTGCTGAATACAAAATCAATTCTCACACTCTCATTTACTACTAATGCTAAACTCAACATTTCTTATAACGAGATACATGATCGGGTAGATGAAATAATCAATTAGGAATTCGGTAAACTTATGTTCCAGAGTCAATTAATTTTAGTTTACACCAAAGCTTTTTATAATTATTATCAAATTACTGTGTAAATAATTATGAAAGTTTTTATAACATCAACATTGATTGATTAAGTTACTTTGCAATAATAATCCCATTTTTTTTTAATCCTTGTTGTGATGATCTTCGCTTGAAAAAAAACATAACTTTTTGGGTTTTGCAGAGGAAAATAATAGATAATTAACATTCTGATAAAATAAAACTCTGTGATAGAATCATTATTAAATAAAATTAATCGTTAATAAACTTTTAAAAACAAAAACAAAAACATTGTCTTTATTTCTTTGTTTGGTCAAAAGCCACATTTATTTTTGCTTTAGTGAGCAAGCAAGCAAGGTTAGGACTAATGTTGGTTAACTAGTGAGTGTTAACAACGATTAGTAACATAATTTGCTTTAGTGAGTAAGCAAAGGTTTGGACTTGCAGGTTTGTCTAGGTGCAGTGATCAAGAACCAAAGTAAAGTCATAAAATGATTAATTGACAAGTACTGAATTGTTTGCAATTAACTGACAAGAATAGCCCAAAAATTAAGTAAATAGCCAAAATGAAACCTCGCCATCATTTAAAAGAATCAAAAAGGTGTAAAAAGTTTATTATTTCAAAACATTATTATAATTTAGCTCTGAAAAACAAATAAGGATAAAAATAAAAAGATAATAATAAATTTATAGTGGAGATTAAATTAGTCATTCATCGCATCCTTTATTAATATTAGTAGAATCAAATGTTTATTAATTAATTAATTAATTATTGTTAAGATGAATAAAAATTTCATTATTAATTAATTGGAAATTACTATCCATTAATTTTTATTCACGTTTTTTAACATTCTAGAGAAAAGAGTTAAGACTATTTAACGAACTATCATTACTTGTATAAATTTTCAAGCTTTTAGATTTAGCAATCTCTTCGTCTAATATTCTACTTGTATGGTATGCGTCTGGATGTGATTTGTGTACTTGTTGCGAACCACCACCACCACCACCACCACTGCTGTTGTTATCATGTTTTTTGATTTTAGAAAATTTGAATAATCTTTTTATTAAACTATCATTGTTACTACTATTATTTTTCAAACTTTTATTAACATGTTTATTTATAGCGAATTGATAAAGATCTCTACTGGTTGGTCTTTTTGATGGATCCACATCCCAACACCTCTGCATCATTTGCACATAATCTTCAGGCATTCCAGGTAATATTGGTGGTCGTAAACCTTCTGCACATATATCAAAGATTAAACAATGATTGTGAGCTCTATTATCAAATGGTGGGTGACCTGCAAATATTTCCCACATTAACATCCCAACACTATAGATATCAGTTTCTTTGGTGTTATTCATATTATTTCCTCTAAGTAACTCAGGTGCAATATATGATATAATTCCATAGACTTTATTTGATGACTTTTCATCAACTGGTCCACATAATCCTAAATCTGTAATATAACAACCACCTCCTTGCAATAATAGATTACCACTATGTAAATCACAATGGATTAAATCTTTTTCATGTATATGATGTAATGAATTACATAAAGAAAGAAAGATTGTAATTCTGTCTTTTAATGTTAAATTTAAATGATTTTTTTGTAAATAATCCCTTAAATTTCCTTCACTAGCATAAGTTAGAACAATTGCATAATTTCCATTATTTGGGAATTTAGTTATACCATAACAAGAAACAATCAACCCCGATTTAATTTTACAATAATTCATTGCCTATTGAATATAAAATCAATTAGTATTATATAATACAATATTGTTTTAAATGACAACTACCAACCTCATCAAAAAAGGCTCTTCCTGGATTACTTGAATCATTTAAACTTTTTAATACTACTCCCCATCCTGTCGAATAACTAAATTCTTTTTTATCTTCGTCATAATCATTTATTTGTCCTCTTGTCCATGTAGCAGTAAAAATTGAACTAAATCCACCTTCAGTCAACTTTGTTATATTTTCAAATTGCTCAAAAGGTATCCATTCTAAAACATAAGTTGGCAGAGATGATTTCATTTGACATTGTTGAATAAAATTATCAATTATGTTATTTCCAGATGTCCAAGTGGTGAAAAGACTCTGCAGTTGTAAACTAATACATCCTTCACAGTATCTATCAGAGTATCTTGTCAATTTACATTTGTTACATTGTTTTGGTTTGCCCTGTTTATATGTTGCATTATCTAATTCAAACTCATAAATAAACCTTTCCTTACAATATTCTTTTTCATTTTCAGAAAGCTCCTTGTTTTTTTCGACCAATGAAAAAAAATAATCTTTTCTATTTTCACTATCAGAGTTAATCACTGCATTATTGTACATTTCACCATAAATTTTACGTACAAAATCCTTTCTTTCTAGTGATAACGATGATAATAGTTTAATATATGACATTATATAATATATAAAATTCGACTTGGTGTTTTAATGAATAGAATGGTTTCTGTGTTACAGTTCCTTTCTAAATATCGTAAATTTTATATTTTTTTTTCTTTATATATACCAGTCAGACGATTTTACTATATGATCGACATAGCACGTTTTCCGTACAACAGACTTTGAAGGAAGAATTGAATACAAGATTATTAATAAAAAATTTTTATGCATCTAAATAAATAGAATCTTGTGCTTTTGTTCGTTTAAATTCAATTTTTTACTTGTCAATAGCTTGTTTTGTTATAGTGCAATAGCTTCCCAAAGAGACCCATACTTTTTGACTTTAAAGGTCTAATTATTTATGAAAAACAATTCTATTAAGATCATTTTAGCATCATAAGATAGAGTACATTGAGAACTCTCAGAAATATATGGTTTGTTTGGTTTTCTTTGAGGCAGAAGAAATTAAAGGCAAAAAACAATTTTATAAGTTATTTATGACTATTTTATATTAGTATTAAATTTTTTTTTTAATTAGATCATTATACTAATTTTATTGAATTATCTAATTTAGATAGAATACATTAAGAAGTAATTAAAAAGCAATAATTCAATGTAATTTTATTTTTATTTTCTTTTTACATTATCATACCAATATTCCCTAACTTTAGTAGATGACCATGAATTATTTATTTTAAATAGATTTTCAAATAATCTTTTTGCCACTTCCTTTGATAAGTCTGTAGGATGATTAAACACTTCTTGAAGAATTTCAAGTTCCTCATTTATTTTTTTGTGTCTCTTATATTTTAGTAAAGAAGTTTCAATCTCATCAATTGGTGCAACTGTTATGTCTGAAACCAGAGTGGGTGAATTGTCTCCAACTTCTATCTCTTCATTTGATCTACCTTTGTTGATTCTTTGATGAGTGTATTATGTTCTTTAACTTTTACAAAGCAACATCTTTACTTCATTTACCAACAGTGGAATGTGGTATTTTTTTGTAAACTTCTTGATATAATGGTAAAAATTATGAATAAAAAATTATGGAAAATAGGTATTTTAAAAATATATGATTGAAGATAAAATATTTGTTTATTAATAATATTATAATGAAATTACAATGATTAAAATGTTTAAAATGTTTAAAAACAGATTTATAAGAATATTGTTATATGATATCATATTTATATTTAAAATGACAATGTACTTAATTCCTTTATTTGCTAAAGAAAGACTTCATTAATGACTAAAAAAATAATAATAAATAATGATAATAATAGCCTATATTTTCTTTCTTCTGCAATTGTCACTGTTATGTATATAGTAATTATAAATATTACATTACACAATTAGAAGAAAACAAATATATTAAATCACAAAGAGAATTTATTTTCATTATTTATATCATATATTTTTCTTAATATTAATACTAAAAATGTGCTCAACATACATTAATTCCTTATTTTTTTTTCCAAGGCAGTGTTGTAATTATTGGAACACATTTTGTGACCATTCTTATCATTCATTATTTAAAAACATATATATATGTATCCTTTAATTAGTCTTGCAATATCTATTTTATATATAAACAAAAAGTAAAGTTTATTAGTAAGAATATAATTACAATGTTTAAAAAATTATATAATCAACTACTTATTATTAGTTAATATTTTATTAAAAATGTATAACTTCCAACTGCTAATTATTTATTGTTTCTTTATGAAACCATATCTAAAATTTTACAAGGAATAAAATAAAATCTCAGAATGTGTACACAAAATATCACGTTCCTTGTTAAAAATTACATGTGGGTGTACTAGCGACAAGTAAAAAGTTCTTTCGATTTTAATAGTAAAAGTTGACATGTTTCACAAAAATTTTACATAGCTATGACAGTAGACACATCAATCGCGTGAAATCTTGTCTGACTGATAAAATTCATTGAAATGTGATTAGTAATTTTGGTATAACAAATTTAAATGTAATTTTCTGATGTTGACTGTATGCATATATTCCAGAACCTAAAAGACATTTTTTTATTAGAAACAGATATTAAAACACAGATCATTCTCATTTAAAATTTTCGGAATTTGTTAGTCTGCATAAAATTATTGATAATGTTTTAATGCTCTAAAACTCAAGCATGTTATACAATTTATTAGTTTATTATTGCTTCAATTATTTCAGTGGTCTACAAAATCATGATTATATAAAAACATAATATTAAATCTCGAACTCGAATATTCGAGTCGAACCGAGCTCGAGCTAAACATAAACTCGGCTCGGCTTGTTCGGAGCTTTAGTAAATAGTATTAGTAACAAAATTTAATTTTACATAAATCGCTACCAGGAAAGTATCCACTCAACTAGTCACACAACCAAGATATAACACAATCCCAACTGAATTATGCTATATAGATGTGTTGTCAAAGTTAATTTAGCTTCGACTCAATACCCAAGATCTCAATTTTTAATTGCGTCTGACTCATGTTTTTAATATGACTCAATTAATTGCGGCTATGGTTAACCTAATACTAATTTTGGCTAACTAAATTATATATATACCTATCATAAAGCTTGAACATCAATTTTTATTTGAGGCGATTGGTTTAATTTATTTATTTTTAATCATTTTCTTTATAGTAATTGTGTTTGCTTTTTAAATGCATGATTTTTTCCAGTCCATAGTAGTAGTAACAGGTAATTGGTCTTTTATAGATTCCGTGTCTGTTTTATTAATATTTTTGTTGAATTGAGAATTTTTGCCCTGAGGTCTCTTTAGATTAGAGGATTCACCAGAATCTATTGATTCACAGTTATTATCACCTGAATGTTATCTCACTTGAAGAATAAAGAATATACATAAAATCTCTATATGACGAAATGTTTTATTTGGCACACTTGTGTTCATGATATCAAGGTTTTGGTATACACATATACTGAATTTATTAGCAAGAATCAACAAATTTCGTTATACATATGTAGCAAGGTTTCGGTTCCCATGTATACTGAATTTATCAGCAAGCAATTTTCATTATTGAATATAATTATTTATTGAAAATAAAATATAGGTTTAAAATCATCGGTAAACATGGATTGAATTCGACTATTCTGTGCTTTACTTTTACATGTTCTAAGAATTACACAAAACTCCATGTTCATCATCTTGTTGCTTCAAAAATAAAAGTGTGTTTCCAAAAATTTTAGTAACTCATATCTAATACTCATCAGAACCTGATAAATTATTTACTTCAGCTGTCTTCCTTTTAATTTTAATTAAAAAAAAAATTTATTTAATGCCATTTTATTATAAATCACCAATTATATCAAAGAATTCATTTTGTGATCACATGTTTCGGAATAATGAGGTAAGAATAAGAATAAGACGGTATTTGTAACGAATTTCGGTATAAAGAGATAGATTTCGGGTATAGATGTAACTTCGGTAAATCGAGGTTTGTTATATAGAGGTTTTACTACAGATTAGTTATATTAGGATCCTCCTCGTAATTGTTTTCGAAAGTTGCAAATGGCCTTTAAAAGTTTGACTGCCTTCCCACATACGAGCGCTGCTCTACTGATTTTTTATTTTTCTAAAAAATCTACGCTTTTTCTAGTTTTATTGTTTTACAACTTGTGTAACATTCCTTTGTTTATTTTCAGGATCATTCATTTCCGTATTCTATTATAATAATAATCTTCCCCAGCGAAAAAGCACGGCCACGTATTTTTTTGGGAGGATGGCGTTGGGATACCTAAGATGTTACTATATCTGAAATTTTAGGTTGAGAATTTTTAATTAGTAGTAAAGGGTAGTTGTCGTAGTAAAACCTTGAGTTCTTGCGATTTATACTCATAGCCACGTGACAGACTTTTCTTGAAATTAAGGAGGATCAAATTAACCCAATTTGGAATATTTAATTTAATTATTATTATATAGAATAATAATGAAATAAAAAAAATTTTTCCCATACTTATGCTATCTCTCCGTATGAACGATTCGCCTGCTTCTATTTTTTTTTAATGACTCTACCTACCATTATCAGTTGTCTTCAATTTCCATTTCGATATATAATAATTATGTCTTATTGACATGGGTCAATTAATAGCTCACGTTTAGAATTACTAATAAAATATACTAATACATATAAAACAAAATACCAGATAGAATTCTTTATTCTTTTCCTTAAATGGTGTGATTATATGGATTGATTATGATTTGGCCAAACTGTTGTTTTATTATTCAACGTGTTAAAAGTAAAATAATATGCTTCAAGAAATATAATATGTGGCGTTATCAGTTTATTCAAAATAGTAATCACAATCTTATCTCGTCACGGTAAAGAGATATTTTATATCCAAAGAATATTTTTATAGGAACAGAGATTTTTTTTAATAGATAATCGTATTATTGTGAACCAAATAAATCAATATCACGTGAAGCACATCTTCTATATACATAGCCTTTGGGCCCTGGATGATTGTGACCTTGTTATTATTATAATAATAATAATTATTATTTATTATTATTATTATTATTATTATTAAGGCAACCTAATTTCAAAAATAGCAAGAAAAAATTTACGCGTATATAATTACCTATTACTATTATTATTATTATTATTAAAAGTAACGTGTTTTAGTGGCACGTGATATCGTCACTTGCTTTCTTGGTACTATTGGTTGTACAATATGATTAATGAAATTTTTTTGGAGGGAAAGTAATTAATATATATATATAACCTTAAAAAATAATTATTAAAAAACCGAAAGAGAGAAAACGAAAAATATTCTATAATAAGATATTATTATATATAAATATAGAATACAAGTAAATATGAACTTGTGTGTGTTGTTTGACATTATGCAAGATTTTAATTAATTGTAACTTTTGATGCTTCTCTCAAATGATTCTTAATAATAATTAGTTTATTATAATCAATAAGATTGATATTATAGTTAATAAGATTATTGTAAATTAATAAGGTTGATAATTATAATATTAATATAATTGTTGACTATTGGTAATTTAACTGTTAATAAATATTTGTTAGATTTAAGCATATTATTATTATATACACAATTACATAATATTAAATTGATATTGAAATAAAATGTATATTTTATATTACACAGTTAATTAATTAATCATTTATATTAACCTTTTTTTTTCAGAACACATACACACACACGTACGCACGGTTGCCCTACAATAAAATCATAGTGCACAAAAAAACATCCGAGAAATTAATGAGCATCAGATGGATGTTGATGTTTTTTAGTGCCTTTGATTATTATATTATAAAAATTGTCAATGATTCTTTTTAAATGATAGATGTTGATAATGACGACAAGTTATTTATTATTCGTCGTATATGGAAAATAAATCTTGTCTTTTTAAATTTTTTTCTTTAAAAAGTTCCGAAATAAAACTCCCAATTTAAACTGGAAAAAATCAATCAATCAAGTATTACATCACATATATATATATATATATTTATATATATATATTTATATATATATATTTATCAATCATTTTAATATCATTATCTAATATCTATTGTGGACAACGGTCCATCAACTGCTTATTATCAACACTATTTTTTACCAAATAAACAAAAAATTGTCTTCAGACATTAAACCAACCAATTTTTTTTAATTTTCTAATTTGGAACAATCGTATAAAATATAATAATAATGTGAGTGTGCATATTTTTATATCATTTATTCTTATTATATTATTATTATTTATTATTTTATTATTATTATTATTATTTATTTAATGTACAGAACGCCGTCTAAATGATTTTTACAAATAAAGAGATTGGAAAGACTTGGAGAAGAAATGGATGGAATTATGTGCAAGTCGAACAATGAAAAAGAATGTAAACAAAAAAACCTGTAAAATTCAAGTTTCAATATCTTATAATAAACAAATATAAATAAATAATTTAAAAAAGAAATGCTCTTCTTTTTTCTCTTTTACAAAAATATATAAAAATTTTTTTATTTATTTTTCCTCTTTTTTTTTCCTTTTGAAAAAACTTTTTAATAAAAAAAAAAAAATAAAGAAATAAGCTTTCATTAACTCTTATTGCTTTTATTTTCCTGTTTAAAAACATTATTATATCATCATTTTATATTATTTAACAAAGAAAAACAATTAACGTGTTCATTAATATCATATATATATATATATATTGTACATTATTATTTATTATATTATATATATATATATATATATATATTATATTATAAAACGATATTCGTCAATTAAAAAAATTTATAAATAGTTAACATTCTTTTACTCACTTTCAAAATAATTTATTACCAAGAGACTTTGAGATTGTTTTAAATTTAAATCTAAATTCACTAGATATACACATATACTCTTATTACAACTTTACAATCTCTCCAACCAACAAACAAAAAAACCAATCACAACAATTAAACTTAGCAAATAATAAGCCTTTTTTTCTTCAAAAGGGAAAAAAAAGAGGGTAAAAAAAGATTATTCAACAAATAAAAATAAACAAATAGTTGTTTGTAATGGACATCCCATATCCATCATTCTCATCCTTTTCATCATCGCCACCATCATCATTTATAAATAATAGCGAACCACAACAATCCTTTTACACAAGTCAAACAGTTTGTCCAGAATGTAACAATTCTTTACCGTTAATACAAATAGATGGATGGTGTAAAGATTGTGAGAAATTTAATTTTCAAAAGACATTTTCCAAATGGACAAGTGGGAATGAAAACATTGACAATTTCATCAAGGAAACTCAACTAAAATCAACCAGACCAATTGATTATTTGGAATGGATACCATATGAACGATTCAAAGATATAAAATTTATAGATAAAAGCAATAATGATATTAACAATGGTTATGGTAATGTGGCTACGGCTATTTGGTTAGATGGTCCTAGATGGAGTTGGAACGAAGAAATTTTAAAATGGCAAAGAACCGGTGAAACTATAGTTGCGCTTAAAATAATGGAAAAAACCAAAAATATTAATTCAGATTATTTTAACGAGGTATTTATTTGTCATATTAAAGTTTATTATTTTTTTTTTTTTATTTATTTTTTTTTTAAACTATATTTTTTTTTCATTTAAAGCTCAAAAAATGTTATAATTGTACGGCATTCAACAATAATATGGTTCATTGTTATGGAATTTCTCGTGACCCAACAACAAAACATTTTATAATGGTAATGGAATACGCTGATCGTGGCTCATTGCACAACTATCTAATTAAAAATTTTTCGGCATTAACTTGGGAAAAAAGAATAAAATTCCTTTGTAATATAGCTTCGGGTTTAAGAAACATCCATAATTCTGGACTAGTGCATCATAATATACATAGCGGGAATATCCTGATGTTCTCGGATTATAATGAATACTCGGCCATAACTGATGTTGGACTATGCAATATTTCATCATTACCTTCACCCATCCCAAAATCACCATCACCATCAAATTATGTATATGGTGTATTACCATATTTAGCACCAGAAGTTTTAAAAGGCCGTAAACCAACAAAAGCTTCAGATATGTTTTCTATAGGAATAATAATGTGCGAGTTGACTACTGGTAAACGACCACATCAAGATAGAGCTCATGATTCACAGCTAATCAACGATATATGTGATGGCTTACGACCGGAAATTACCGAAGACACGCCCTCGTTCTATAAACAATTGATGCAAAAATGTTGGGATCCTGATCCTGCCAAAAGACCAACCGCTGAAAAACTTTACGACTTGTTAACTTTTAAATCTGAAAAAGTTATCAAACAAATTAGAAAGGCCGAAAAGAGACGCATGATTATGTTACGACAACGTGAACAAGCTCTTATTTCTAAAATGAATGCTAAATATGCTAAATTGGAATTACATAGCGGAAATGTTAATGTAAATGGTGGCGGTGGTAATAATGGTGGTAATGGATATAACAATAATAATAATAAGGGAAATAGCCTGATTTCAAAAGAATCAAAGATGGCTTTGCTTCAATTAAGCGGTAGGTTTTTTTTTTTTGGTGAGAGTGAGAAATAAATAAATTGATAAATAACATTATATTATTTATTTAGAATTACAAAAAGTTCATCAACAAGCTTATTATTCAAGTCGACCGATACCAATTGTAGTCACCTCACCAAGAGTTAGCCTCGAAATTTATGGTAATAAAAATAATAACTTATTATTTAATTTATTTAATTTTTAAATTATAAAAATCATTTCCATTTCCTTGTAAATATTTTTTAATTTTATTGCATATATGACCTCATTTCTTTCCCTCGATCATATTTATTTAATATTCATCATTGTTTTCTCTTATTTCATATAAAATTTTGTAATTTAATTTTGTTTATTTATTTATAATATATTTACAACGCTAATTGGGATTTGGGATTTATTATTTTAATCTTTTGTACATTCTGTTTGTAAATCATCAACCAATCATATATACGATGTATCATAACATAACATATAATATAATAATAAATCACGCACACGCACTCACACTCACACTCTCACATTCATTCACTACTCGTCCACATACATTATCCCACGCACATTGCATAAAAACATTCACATTCACATTACACTAATCATATAAATATATATGTATATGTATATAGACAAGATATCAGACTTTCATTATTATTATGATGGTGGTAAACCTAAATCAACAACGGTAACAAAAACTACGGGCGTAGGAAGCGATGAGACATCGTATCCATTACATGTGTCGAGTGATTCTTGTGTAATATCTTAAATATTTTTTATATTAATTAATTAGAAATTTTAGAAAATTGGAAAAAGTAGTGAAGTAAACATTTTATTATTGTTATTATTAATATTGTTACTATTATTATTATTATTTTATTTGTGATTTTATTAGTTAATAAATATAGTAAGTAAAATTTTTTAATTTTTCATTAATTAAAATAAAAAATAAAATAAATATATATATTAATATGCAAACATTTAACAAATGGAAAATCATATATATAATGAATGACCAACCATTTCGTTAAATCTCCCGACCAGGAGAGACTCCCATTGGATATTTTCGATATTGAGAGTGTGTTGAAGAAGTGTTGTCCAAGTATATGTTGATGATTTGTGTGGGTGTATAGGTAGGTTCTCGAGAAGTGGAATGAAAAATTTGGAGCAATCTTGACGCACCAGCAACAACAATGGCAGTTACTGAACGAGGATCCCGAGGTTTCATCATGGTATAGCCACACTTGAATGAAAATACATGATGGGTTGACACACTCAACAACACAATGTACTTTGACACTAGTGACCTGCCGTTGATAATTCTACGGAACCGCGTGTACCTAGTCTGTTAGAAATACCATCCATACACAAGTTTGTGAGGATCGAGGAGGGCAAGAAATTACATTGGGGCCTGTTGTATGTGAAATTGAAACTATGTGAAATTGAAATTTATAATTAAAAATTTTGGGGTGGGGTGTTTGGATATGAAATTCTGATTGGCTAATTTGGATTTCACAACAGGCCAAAGTTCATCAAGTTGTGAGACAGTTGATGACGATGGTTGTGATGGAAGTTGTGATGATGATTGAAGTTGTGAGTGTGAAGTTGATGAATATTGTTTATTTGATCTTCTTTCCTAACATGCATGTTCTTTTACATGATGACTTCTTGTAGCACCGAGTTCTTTTTGTATGGAGCTGTTAATTATGTCGATTCTTCAACTGAGATTTGGAATATTCAAATATTGACCAAGCTCTTGGTGGGTTGTATTTTATGAGCTGGATCAATTTCCGACATGGTCTTGGTACTGTTTAAAGGTTATGTTCCTTTTGTGAAAGAGCACGTATAACTTCCAACAACATCAAAACCAGCAAAATCATCGTTTTTGCAGAATCACTTTTGCACTACATCTTTTTCGCATTTTCTGTTCCTGCATTAATTGCGTCAACTAATTTATTATACATGTATCTTTCTCCTCCATCAGTTTTAATCAGCCTGAAACTGAGTTGTTATAATAGATACAAAAGGGATCAAATGTTTGATTGAGTCTCCAAAATACGTATAAATAAAGAAAGCTTAAATAATATTCACCAGCAATATGGAGCATGCTGCAACAAAACCAGACAAAGTGGACAATAAGATTTTGTTGACATAACAATCTGATCATCTAGCTTGAAGATCCAAAGACTATACAAACGGGTAATAGCAAAAATATAATTTGATATGTTTGACCCATCATTATAGCTCATAAATCAGTCATGACAAAGTAATTTAGTTGAATTTTCTACTAGAGATAAATTCAATTTCCATATTCTTAATAGGAAATATTTTGGTTGTCAATAGATTGACACAGCTATGGTTGCTTACCGTGATAATTGCTGAATCTGAAATGCTAAACTCTTATAGAAAAAAACTAAATATTTTCATCCGAATTCCATATATACTGAATCAAGCGCAAATTTATTATTATAAATTTTTTTTTTCATAAAAATAAAAAATTTCCTTTTAACAAAAATATCAATAATTTTTAACAATAATCTGATTCTGGATGCTTTCTTACATATGAAGCCAGTGTTGAGATGGGTGTTGTACTTTCATATTCGGTTGCTAATTTTGAGACCCTTCCTGCAAAAAAACAAAGTGTGGTGAAATCATAAGCAAAATTTTTGTAAAAAAAGCAAAGATTAAAAATAAAACATTTGTATTTTTTTAACCATAAAATGAGAAATTGTAGACATTAACAACAGAAGTGTGCATAAAAGATGATCTTGATTGAAAATAAAAAGTAATTGAGGAAATTTCCCTCTGTATAAATTGAAATTCATTCTAACTGTCAAAGAAAACAATAGTTATTTTAAGATTTTTGCTTTTTATTAGGTAATAATACATCATCATGATGCTTTCTTTTTCCAACATTTATTATTTTTCTTTCTTCATGGTAAATTTCATAAGTAATCTTTTCTTTTCTTAGATAAGCTTCCAGCATCTGAGTATCATTTATTTTGAAAATGTAAGGTGCAATTTTTTCACCTTGTTCCTTTTTTAGAATACTTCTAATGGTGCTATAATTCTTGGCTTCCATAGTAGATCTGATGTAAATGAGTTTCATATTAACTATTTTGTATAGGGATAGTTCTATATATCACTTAAAATAATGAATGGGATATTATAAAACTGTTAATTATGATCACATTACAAATGACTAAATTTTGATCCCTGAATTTTTGGCAATACCAATGTTCACTTTGTCTGGTTTTGTTGCAGTATGCCCCATATAATATTATAAAAAAACATAATAAAGAGGGAACTGTTGGAAGGAGAGTTAGAAAACGTGAGAATATTCCTAGAAATAAAGATGATCGTTTTGCTGCCATGGAAGAAGGATAGTACCAAATTTACATAGAGACATTGACAAATTTAGTTGATAGTGTACCTAGGAGAATAGATGCTGTAAAAAAATCTAAAGGCTATCCAATTAATTATACTAAAATTTATTTCTCAATAAAATATTTGACTGCTCTTTACATATTAATATATATATTAATATATATATTTCAAAACATGATGCACATTTTTTATTATGCTGTTAAATAGTAGTTATCCCCCGCGAAGTGGGGGATAACTACTATTTAAAACTTGACAATTGGGTTTAATTATTGAATGAAAAAATGATATAAATATTTTACGTTTAATTTAAAATCTTAATAGTCATATAACGAATCATTACATAAGTTTATTATATATATATTCAAAGCATGGTGCACATTTTTTATTATGTTATCTAGACATGTTAAAACTTGACAATTAGGTTTTGTTCAATTGAAAATTTCAAAAAAATTTTTAAAGCTAATAAAATTATTAATTGTAAACAAAACATTATAAATTTCAAGTATGTTATTGGAATCATTATGAAAATTGGTTTTTGTTTAATACATAAAAGTGATTGTGATTGATAATAAAATTTTGAGTTATTTCCAACGATCTGCAAAATTGCCAATACTTATGGCAGGTGAGTGTACAATAAGATGTTGGGCCTGGATGTCATTGAAATTGTCCATCGCACGCCCAAATATCGATGTTATCGGGCAATCACTATTAAGCTATTCTTTCAAACGTCACTGTTTATTAAAGTTTAATTATATGATTTAATATATCAATCATATTGACGTCATTTTGTACCTAAAATTACAAAGCAACTAAAAATAGCTTAATAGTGTAGTTTGCCCGATAAATAAAATTATGCGACATTACCTCATCGTAAAAAAAAAAATTGAAATTTTGCCCAGATTTTTGCTGTAGTGGTCGGGGTTTAGATGACCCGAGCTGTACTACAAAATTTTGTGATGATTTCCACTATATATTCAAATAATTAACATGGAAAATATATCCGATAAACAATTATAGTAATAGTGATAATAATTGTAATAGTAACATTTTTATCCGTCAAATCAAATAAAACAATTATTATTATTATGAGTAAATAGTTTTATACTAAATCATTTTGATGCAATATCGATCATACACAGGTAAACTCAATATAAATGTCTGACATATTAGAGTTTACCTGTGCAATTAAAATTTACAAGTGACAGCATTGGTACGACAACTAATCAAATTGAGTGTTTTTGTTGTTTTTACAAAATTCGTTCCATGGTCAACCTCGCCTATTTGTCTTTTTTAAATTTCGATAGCACACAAATAGTCGATTTTTAAAATTTGTCGTAATCTTGTATGAATTTATTTTCTTTGGTCTTTGACATTTTGTCTTCTTTTATAGTAAAATTGGGAATACGCAAAATTTATTGGATAATCGCCTTTAAATTAGGGTTACATCCGGTTGCTAATTTTTATGGATATCCGCATTTTAATGTGTGTGACCCTAAACTTAAACCTAAGAGTCTCGAGTCACAGCATTGTACCTGCTAGTTTGTGTTTGCCAAAAATAAAAAAAAAATATATTTCAACGAATATTAAAAGCTTAACGAATTACAATTTGTTATTGATTATCTTATTTTGTATCTGAAACACAAAATTACCTTTTCAACAATAAAACAACAGCCTTCACTTATTATGTAAGGCATTTTTTTGTTATCTTTTAATTTCACGAAGTAAAATTTTATTTTTATATCAAATTGGAGAACAAGCCAAATATACTGATATCAAAATTATTTGAACGATTGAATAATGATTACAATGGTTGACAAATATCTGGATATCTGAATGGAATAACCTCAATAATGATAATAATGATAATAATAATAATAATAAAGTTCTTTTCACGATGGCAATCTACTGATTTATTTCTAGTACATATATCTATTTATTTTTACTGCATCTGTAAAAAAGATTATTGTCGCATTATTTTATCAATTAATTTCATTTAAATTAAACGAATAACAAAGCTAATGAATAATAAAATCTAACAATTAGTAGCTATTGAAACCTAATTTTAGAAGTTGTTGATAAAGCTTTTCTTTGCTTGTGCAATTAGTTACTACCACATAGAATAAAGTATTACGATCAGCAGTAGCCCAATCAGAATGCATGCCAAGTACAAAATTATTTTTCGGGTCTATCTATATATTAACATATACATATTTGTTTAGCATGCATCCTTCGCACCCTCGTTTATTTTTGAGGTCATGATGTTTGTATGACACAAAAAATGAAGAGAAGACGAGGAGGAATATTCGTCCAGAAAATATTGAAATTTTAGATAGCATCGAAAAAGTATATACCAGCTTGATAAATTGGTCGCTTATTTATACTTGATTTTAATTATAATAAATATTTGATATAAAACTAATACAATAAAAATTAAATGGTAATAGTCAATTATTTATTGAAAAAAAACTAGTAATATTGAATTTTCTTTTCAATGATATAAACTGTTAATTTGTTACATTATTTTGTTCAAAAAAATTAAAAGTAGTTTCAAACTTTTACAGCTTCATTTATACAATAACATATTCCTCTTTGATTGGAATTTCACTAATCCCATCATTATCAATTGATATATATTCCTTTACTGTTAATGCTGTTAATGCTGAACTGAAATTTGATCTATCAATTAAATTATTAACATTGTCTCTTTGATCATCTATAATATTTTGTATTAATGTTGTTGAATCCCCAAGTTGTTCTTCATATTCTAAAGGAATAATACTAGCAATCATTAATAGTGACGGATGTAACATTTTTCCAGGCTTTTAAGACAAAATTTATTATTGCCTTTCTAATATCAAAAGTTTTTTTTTTTTTGGAGCTAAACCATTTGGTTAATCTTCCTTGCAATAAATATTTTAATAAAAGAATGGTTGCAAGCAAGTTGTGTTTTTACTTTAAATTATCCATTAAAATATGTGTTGGTGCATTGTGCATTTTATTGTCTATAAAAACCTTAATAATAATCAACTGGCAATGTATCTTTATTAAGTTTTCATATTTATGAATAATAATAAAGGAGGTAACTTTTTAGTACCAGTTGCATTACAAGTTAATAATATTGTTGCTCTTTTTTTATTAACTTTAAGCCTGGAATTTGGGGTTCCATTTTCCAATAAAGACCTGTCTCATCGCAATTAAAAATATACTCTTTTCTATAATTTTTAAGAACATCTTTCAACTCTTCTCTCATTTCGAAAATCTGTTTCAATAGATGGATCCACTTTGAGATTTCCCATATTTATTACATTATTTAATCGAATATCTCCGCTTGAATTTATCAAGCCAATCAGATGATGCTTTAAAAATATTGTTGTTACCCAGTAACTCTACACCTTTTGTTGAATAACATTACCTGTAATTGCTGTACATTACATTCAAGCGCTTTCTGCAACAGGAGAAGTATGTGCTTTTTCAATAAGAATTTGAATCAATTTCAAGCCACCTATTTAGACTCCTTTCAATATATCACTGACTTTTCTTGTGCTAATTCAACAAATAAACATAATTCGCGTTTTTGTTCAGCAGTGATATACACAAGTTTTTTGGAAAAAGAAAAAGATAATCGTCAAGACATTTTATAAAGAAAAATTCGACTTATTTATATATTTAGAAGAGACTTGAATAATCTTCAATTAAAACAATAGTAAGGTTACTTTTTAGAATTATTAGTGGATTTTAGAAATCCGAATTAATTAATAATTATAGCAATGCGTATTTTATTTTTTTAAGTTTGGGGAATTGTAAACATGTATTAGTATCAGTATATCAATATTAACATCACACAAACCCGTTGAAACGAGAAATTTTAATATCAAAACAATCAGATGGGTGGTCACAAAAAAGTACATAATCGAAAAATAGATGATTCCCTTTTCCAAATATCTGGGGTTGTTTGATTATCCAAAAATAACAACCATTGAGCTAACACCTTAAACTAATTTAGACAAGTGTCTCAATTAAGGTTACGCACTCAGCCCTAGTAAACGAAAGACAATGCAATCAATTGCATTCAATAACGTCATACAACAGTTTTTTTTTTTTAATATCTACTTATTATAGTATTGTTAAAAATCATGATCGCACACAATGCGGGAAATCGATTTTTTAATAATACATTATTAGAGCCACCTGTTCGCAAACCTAAATATTGGTTTTGAATTTCGAATACATTTATTTGGCTTTTCCAATATCGTCTAGAGCAAAGTTTTCTACATATGTTTCACTTTGGATGGTATTACGGTAATTCATTTCTTCAGTGTTGAAGAAATATACTGACAAATTTATTTGTTTATTTTTATCAAGAAATAATGATGCATAATAATTATTATTTAAAAGTAATTGTCACCACAAACAAACTTAAACCAATCAATCGAAAACGATAGGAGAACAGGAATTAAAATTATAATGTTAAGAAGCAAACAAACAAAACCGATCTAAATAAATACCTCTTGTTTTTTTACTTTGTCTCCATTTTTATTCTAACGGATTTTTGATCTAATAAAGTAAAAATCTTTTACCTTGCAATATTTTAAATAAACAACTAATAATATTGTCCTTTCCTCCTTCTCCTTCTCCCTCTCTCCCTTCTCCTCACACTTCCCCTTCTTTTCTTATTTAATTAGGCTATATAAAATGTCCAATCCAGTAAAAGATGATGAAAAATTGTTGTCAACACAATTAGTGCATGATAAAACGGATAATGCTGTTGATGCAACAGTAAAGGATGGCGAGTGTACTCTGGAACAATTTAATAAAAATGTGACAGTAAAAGATGATGAAAAATTGTTGTCAACACAATTAGTGCATGATAAAAAGGATAATGATGTTGATGCAACAATAAAGGATGGCGAGTGTACTCTGGAACAATTTAATAAAAATGTGACGGTAAAAGATGATGAAAAATTGTTGTCAACACAATTAGTGCATGATAAAAAGGATAATGATGTTGATGCAACAGTAAAGGATGGCGAGTGTACTCTGGAACAATTTAATAAAAATGTATTATGCAAACTGTAAGATATTAAGTAATTTTATTTAAATAATAAACAAATATTTATGACCCCTTACTAATTTTTGTCATAAAGTGATTTTTGTCCTGGTAAACGAGTGGTCTGCAAACAACTAGGAGAAGATTTAAAAATTCACAAATTTTATATTTATATTTACAGTCAGACCTCCATAAATGTACACCCTCCATACTCTGCACTGCACGGTATTTTTTCAATCCACTCATATGAAAACTCTCTTCATAAATGCACCCCACGTGGCTAATGTATAAAAATTCATTGTCTAACTAGAAATCATCAGCAAAAATTTTTGATTGGATTCCAATACGTAATGCAGTCTGGGATTATACCATAAATGGAAATTGATTTTCGAATTTTGATTGGCCATTCAAAGGTTTTTTTATACCAAAAACCAATAATATTGAAAATTTTATTTAATATACTCTCTTGAATATACAATTTATTAATCCGTCTTCATCCAAAAAGGTTTACAAATTAGTTTTTTCCCTCAATATGAGCCATAGTTTGGCTTGAATTTTCAATATTTTTTTTTTTATGCTTTTTTTTTTAATCTTTAATTCTAATTATACCCTGATGGCGAATACAAGACAACTAGCTAAGAATTTAAAATGTTTGTTTGAAGATATAGTTGGCAAATATCCAAAGAGTCAACTGTGGTCATGTAAACCTGACTCACAAACAGCGAATGAATGATAAGCAGGTAAAGAAGTAAATATATATATATATATATACACATGCATACAAAATTTGGCATAGACTTTATTTATATCCAAAAAGTTTACAAATTAATTTATAATTATAATATATTTCATGATACTATTTATTAATTTTATTAATTTTAATAATAAGATTCCTGATGAATGATAACCCAAACATTTCATCAGTATATTTAACCATTATGAAAAAAGTTATTGAGTTTTTATGGTAATTTTATGATTATAATTTGAAGCTATTGATTATTTTTTGATAGACTCGTAAAGCAGTTAAAAATAAACATAATACATAATTTTGGAGGTTATATGACCATTAATAATGCCTTCACCAAGTTTTCTTCATAAAAAAACATCATTTTATTTTTTCAATGAAAAGATCGGCATAAAATTAGCCAATCATTTTTGTTCTAGATTGTCTATCATTACAGTATTTAGAAATTTCACATTTCAGTCAGGATTTTTTCCAAATTTGGAATTACCAAATATTGCAATGATCAACATCCTAAATTGTAAATTTGCACTATGTAAAAATTTGATTGGCTGAAATTCCGTATTTTTCTCCTTTTCTTTTCTCAAAAACTCACATAATATGAAAAAATTTAACTGTTCATAGAAGGTCTCATGGATGTGTGTTCCCATAATCCATCAAAAAACCCATCAAAATCCATTTAAACAAATATTTAATTGATGATCCATGAATAAATGAGTGAGTCATACATAGTAAAAAACAAGGGAAAATTGACACAAAAATAGCTAATTGAGTACCTTTGCATCAGAAGTTGTACTATGTTTTTGTTCCACCACATGATTTTTTTTTACATCCACAAACAAAACAAATCCCAAAGAACAATTATCAGGTTTTTTTGGTCTTTACTTAAGTAAAAAAAAAAGTTTACTCTTTAGCATCTGTAGATTTTTAAGAATTTTCATATAAAAATTTTTACATGTTCCATGTAACAGTAGTATTTATTTATTAAAAACATATGATTTATTGTCTTCAAAAATAAGAACAAATAAAAAAAAATTTTTTTACTTATTAATTAGATGATGTATTTTCAACTGCCTGTCTTTTGTGATGCTGATGAGAAGGATTATTTTCAGCTTCTAATTCGTCAGTTCCAACAAGTCTTTGAAGTTCTTTTAACATATCCTCAGGAGAGTATTTTTTCTATATTACCAGCCAAAAACATGATTTTTAATTGTTCAATCACATTTAAATCAAGCTTCTTACTACCTTTCTTCCCATACTCTTTAGAACAAATCCAGGTTCCAATTTTTCATCCAAGAAGTTTTTCAAATTCATATTATTTAGCAGAGAATTATTGTATTGTCTGAACAGGATAACTGTATAGTTTATTTCCAGTGAAATCCAAATTTTTCTCTTGAAGCTTCAACCTTACTTCAGGAACAGACAAATTTTGATTGATGTGTCAACTTCTGAAGGAAAAAATATTTTCCATTCTGATTGAGGCATTGTTTGATTAATGACTGTAATGTTTGGTTGATTAATATTATTATTTTTCAGAAGTTTTTTAATATCAAAAATTGAATATTTTTTGATTTCCCAAAATTAGGTATTTCATACGCTGCTATATATATCTATCTTTGTCACCAGATGGCCACATGAAAGTAAAATAATTAGAAATTACTTTAATGGTACCAACTGTCACTTTTTTACTACGATCTGGGATTATTAGTTGAGTCAGACATTTTAAGATCACAATTTATTAATAGTATTATTTAAGATTTTTTTTTTTTAAATATAATTTTATGAAAGACTTTTTGAAGTAAATCAAATATTTTATCTATTTATATAAAAATCCAAACAAAGTTCAAAACTTGTATCAAATTCAAAACTTGCATAAGTTCAAAATTTGTATAAAAATTCGACTTATATCAAAGTTAAAATTTGTTAGTTCAAAACATGTATAAAGATTTAAAACTTGTGTCAAATTTTAAATATTTGAAACTTGCAATTTTATTCTAAAAATTTTGGTGTAATGAACACCTGTAGATTTTTTTTTTTCAAAATTAATATTAAATTTCCCTCATTTTTTAATAGTAAATTGATTGACAATTCTCTCATTTATTC